GGGACAGGGTACCGGGTGCCGCCAGACAGACATGGGCTCTCATCTCCTGCCATGCCTTCCCGCACCCAGGTCCGGCATCGCAGAAACCACTCCCCTTCAACCCGTTCTGGAGACACTGCACTTTCCAACACCTTATTTCTCTTTTTGCACCCGTTTCCCCACCACCCCCGCTGCTGCCATCCCTTTGCAGACCCTGAGTAGCAGCAGGAACGCTTCTCTGATGGAGAGGGACACGTCAGCCCCAGGGATGGGACCTGGGATCGCGAGACCTCTCCACGAAAGAGCACTAAACTGGCCTGCACACTTTCAAGGTTTTCTTCTCTTCCATCGGCCAGCAGCATCACCAGCAGAACCGGCCTCTCCTCTTCCTACATGATTTCACCTCCTCAAGACCAACCAAACTCACAGCCACAGCTGCACACAGGTATGAATCTCCTTTTTGCCCTGTAAACCCCGTACCACCCTTCCCACAGGGGGACTCTCTGGTATTTTTCCCCCACTTACCCCATTTTCCCAGCCCGCCGCTGACATTATTCCCCTTCCTGCAGGCCACGGTCGCAGTACAGCAGGCACCTGCGCTCCGGGTAATCCTCCCTCATCCCTTCACCACGTTACGCAAGAGACTCCACCTCTAGATTACGGATCAGCATAATATCATGCTGATACAATATAAAAGCACTATATAATGTTTTTCAAAAAAACCAGGGTTTTCATCCCGTCTATGTATTTAGCACGTATAGGCTGAGACAGAAGACACCAGCACCCAGGGAAAGGGCTGTAACCCCCTCACTCAAGCAGCGGCGTTGAGGGATGTACGCTTGACCCCCCCATCCCTGGTAGACGGGGAAGGCAGCGTGAAGGCTCCCACTTACCCCGGGGCATCCACAGCCTCCCCTTAAATGGAAGGAGAGGTGCAGCAGCAAACCGAGAGGTCTCTACCAGCACCCACAATCACCCTCGCAACCTGCTAATTATGGCACAGAGGACGAGGCGATCAGCTCCAGCAAGCAGCTTTGGGATTAACCGCTCTGGCCAAGGGTCATGCCGTGGGAATTGGCTCTGCCGCCGCTCCAGCCAGCGCTCCCCCGGCACCCGGCACAGCCAACTAGATCTGCGTCTGGAGCCCCAAATCTCTGTGGGTCCTTGGGTTTCAGCTTTTTAAAGGAGTTAAACCCAACACACAATTACCCAGCAAGGCTCAGCCCCTCCTTCCACCCCCTCAATACACCTCCCTCTGGCCTGGCACCGGGTCCCACTTTATAAATACCTGGTTTTCCCCCCAGTTTTGTTCTGGACAGCTCTAACAAGAGAGGACATTTGCTGCATTTTCAATGAACATCTTAGTGGGATAATTAGGGCCTTCTAACGAACCCGTGGCCATCGATTCAGAACTAATGGCTTTGGAGCCAAGGGTCTCTGGAGGGGACACTGAAAGGTTTGCTAAGGTGGGTTTAACCTGTAGAAAGGTTAAACTGAAATACATGTAAATGATTGGTAAAGAGTCAATACAGAGACTTCTCCTGGCTTTAAGGTCCAGAGAACGTCAGGCTGAAGCTCCCAGAAAAACCTCA